CTCTTTAAACTGCCCAACCCACAATGAGCTCTCCATCTTCTGAATTCCTACTACATTTACTGTCTGTACTGTTCATTTGGCATTTAGCATATGCTGACCTGCACAGCTAAATATCTTTACTTGTTTGTGTCCTGTGTGCCTAAAATTAAGGTAAGATCCTAAAAGGAATGAGTAAGATGCCGTCTTATGTCCAAGTGCCTAATATTGGGCTCAGAACATAGCAGATGTTCAAAATGTGTTAAGTATATGCCCCATGCTCATAGATAGAATTTTAGTTCCTAACAGAATCCAAGACTCTATATACGCACACACTATTATTTTTCAGCAGCAGCCTTGATGTCAAGAAAGGCCTGAGCCGCTTCCATGTTTTAAGCCTCCTGATAATATTAAAAAATAAAGCTCAGGCACGGTGGTTCATGTCTTTAATCCCAGGACTTTGGGAGGCCAAGGCAGGCAGATCACTTGAGCAGGAGTTCAAGACCAGCCTGGCCAACATGGTGAAACCCTGTCTCTACTAAAAATACAAAAATTAGCCAGGCATGGTGGCAGGAGCCTGTAATCCCAGCTACTCCAGAGGGTGAGGCAGGAGAATCGCTTGAACCTAAGAGGCAGAGGTTAAAATGAGCCAAGATCACGTCACTGTACTTCAGCCTGGGCTATAGAATGAGACCCTGTCTTGAAAGAATCAAACAAATGCTAAAAAATAAAGACATGTTGTTCAGAAGCATTAAGTTTACCCTGCCCCCATGGCTCCTTTGTGGAGGATACCTTGTAGTTTGTAATTAGTCGTAGGTGGGTAACAGCTGCCTACCTGGGATATTTCTGAGTTATGTGTATATGTAGAACAACTGTGTATTAATAAGAATCACCTGTCAAAGAGCAAATAAAAGCATGGATGAATCTCTGCTTGGGGCCTTCAGTCCTGGAGAGCTGCAAGCCCCACAGGCTCTCAGGCTGTTGGTCCCCAGGGTAGATCCACTCTGTTGGCTATCTGGGTGTCTGCCTCTCTCAATACCTTCAGCCTGCCTGGGTGGGGGTCTCCCAGCCGAGCTGGTTCTCCGCAACACGTCATTTCCTCATTACAGAAACTGTGCTTTCAGATGTCTTGAAGGACTCAAAATATTTAAAAAAAAGAAATTGTGCTATACTTTAAATTTTTGCCTCTAATAAACAATTTTATGCCAAAAAATACAATGAGATTTATTTGTACTACTCATAACACAGTTAATCTTTATCTTACATTAATTATTTTATTGTTGGACTATACTGCCTTTAACACAATTCATGGTACATTAAAAGCAGTACAAACCAGGCACAGTGGCTCATGCCGGTAATCCCAGCCTCCCAGCTTACGCTTTGTGAGGCCGAGGCAGGCGGATCACCTGAGGTTAGGAGTTCAAGACCAGCCTGGCCAACATGGTGAAACCCTGTCTTTTAAAAAAAAAA